CCTTAGCAACAGCTAAAGATGAGATCAAAAATCACAGAGTTTAACAGCTAATTCTTTTTTTATTTATTTCCAAGTAAAAGTCACCTGGATTGCACTGAATATTTCTGCGAAATCTGTTTAACTTTTATGTTCTGATTATCTTTTAATTTTTTTTCATTGAGGAAGAGAAACACATTTATCTCATTAAATACAATTAACAACTCCAGAAGTCTTCCAAATGTACTGCAATATTTGGGACCTAATGAACTACTTTCTCTCAAGTACTAATCAATTCCCTATAGCAGTACAGGCTTTTCTACCAGAGAAAATCATCGTTTAATTTTCTAGAATTAAGTCTGAAATGTCAGACTGCTTCCATAACGTCCCTCCTCACAAGCACCTGAAATGTTGTAAACAGATCACTTGCTTCCTGGATTGGGTACTCAAAACTGATGATTCTTCTTTAAGGGCATTTTTAAATTTTTTTACTAATTGAAAGTTTATGTCCACCTTTTAGACCTTTTTTCAACTGCTGGGAGATCTACTATTAAAAAAAAAAAAAGTCCTTGTGAATCCTCTATTTCCATATTCAGGCTTCTGCTGTTTTTTTCTGGTCTTCAGAATTCTACTCAAGAAAATCCACTGGAGCTTTAAAGAAAGTAGTGAAGTAAATGGACACTAAACAATCCCTTTTGATTATTGCTTCTGAGCAATCATTCTGTCTCAATGCTTTCCATAGGCTCTTGTAACTGCAACCCATGAGGACTGCATCTGAACGAGCATGAATAGGGAGGGACACAAGTCACAGTATCACAATACTTAGTAATTATTCTCTTTAAAACATATTTGTCTAGAGTCTGATCCATAGTACTATTTTATTTCTCATTAATTACTACTTTGACTCCTCAAAATCCTCCTAGGATGGATTTTTTAAAACCCAAATGTATGGGGTTAACCAGTTCTCTTTTATCTGCTAACATATAGTGTTCAAAACCTTCTTTCCAATACTTATACTGAAATCCATATTTAGTGGATACTGAGACTTATTGCCTTAGAAAAGGCTTTTTGCTATGAAATAAGGCTCCATATTCTGCAGTTTAGATTCTCAGCAGGTTTTTTAGCAGATTGTCTACTTTTTAATTGAGTTATAGTAGATGACCTGGAAAAATACCAGCAATTCTCTCTTCAACTTTTGGATTTGTCAAAGTGTGTCATTAGTCCATCATCTTACCTCTTATGCCTCAATTTCTATTTTTTACTGGACAAATTAATATGCAAACTAATATAATGTGATGAAGATACACGTAACATTCACATAAATGTAGCTTCTTTTCAATATATGTATCTTCTCTATTTGGATCCTTGACATCATTACAATCCCACTAATGCCAAATGATTTTCTGCCTTTTCTTTTATGTACCTTTTATACAACTTTAATGTACCCTCAGTATTCTTAGCATGCATACTTGTAATTCCTTAAGTCGAATAATTTATCATAGCCCTAGTATTTTGTTAGGCCAGCAGACCAAACATCCTAAAGGCCTCATAGTAGGAGGCCAGAAAACCCCACGCTATCTTGGGAAACCAAGATCCCAAACCTAGTAACTCTCTAGAACACATCCTGTAAACTAAAGATTTGTCCCATCCAGGGGAGAATTTCACGAATGGGGGAATATCACAACATTCATCCAAGCCTCCCATTGGGACATCCTTGTTAGATATGCTAGTTTGCAAAGTCTGTAAAACTATACACGGATTTATTGTGTGTGTGCATTGTGGCACATTCCACCTTGGTGAAGTGGCGCACCAATAAGGAAGGATCCTTATTAAAATACCAGGGTAAAACCCCTTATCCCTTAACTATGTCTGGCTCTCAATTTTCTAAGATCAGGGAAAGGCATCACCACAAATAATCACCAAAACTAAATTATTCTGTTAATGGCTATTTGACTCTGAATAATTCACTTTTCCTGTAAGCCCAAGGAAGAAAGCTGGAGTGCACTTACATGATTTTCATTCACAACTTTGAATCTGCTCACTTTGTAGCATATGTGATATTAAGCATTCTCTGTTGAAGCATTCTGTAACATACTGCACCTGGCATGACAGACTCAATAGAATTTTCCTGCATATACTGTATGAAGTTTATCTTATGTTTGCATATTGCACTGAAATTAGAGATACCTCTACTGGATACACAAAGTAAGCACCTTCAAAATATAATCTGATTGTATTTTCCCTCAGTTCAATTATATCCTTTTTCTTCATCTCTGTACTGTTCTGTTTGCTTCACCACCTGGTTCTTGATATTCCTCCCTTTTATCTCTTTGCCTTGTGTTTTTGTTCTTTAAATTATTACTTTTTCTTATTTTTTTTTGCTGTGTTCTTCTGTTTTAGCTTTTCTGCCTCCTCTCTCTTCTTTTTTTTTCCCTTTTATTTTCTTTCTTCTTCTGAGTAAAGAAAAATAAAAGCCACATGGTTTGTCAGACAGTAGATAATAAATGTTTGGGAATGTTATAGAATCCTGTCATGGGAACAGTTACTTCCATCACATCAGTGTATTGGTGCCATAATAATTGCTTCTGGTATGTCACAAATGCAATAGAGATAATCTGGAGAGGGGAGGGGAAAGCACCATGCTGCCACTTTTTTAAATGTATGAAAACTAGTGCACAGAAGATAAGTTAATATTTTAAGCAGAAAATCAATCTACAGTATACCACAGGGGCTCCTTCATCACCAACAATTTACATCTTATGGACAAGTTGCAAAGTCCCTTTTTTGACATCCTCCATAATTATCCAAAAACTTATACAATACATAGGCTTTGAGGATGGTCTGTTGCTTATATTGTACCATTTAGTTGAATTTTTTTAGTTAAACACAGGTATGTAAAGGAGAAAATATCTCCTGACATGCCTAGACATCTGAAAAAAACCAGAAAACAGAAGTTTAGTGTAAAAGTGTTCACAAGTGGATAAGATTTGTTGTTATACACTTGCTGTTTTGTCTGAGTTCCCTTAACCACATTTGTCTGGGAGCTAAAGTTCAGGCATCCCTGAGGTTAATCTTCCTGGAGAATTCAAATTGCTAGTTATGTTCTCAGCTCAGAATTTAGTTTTAGATAAAATGTGATGAACATTGGTGGCAGCCAGCTTTTAAATAACAGACCTCTTATATGAAAAGTGGCTAAGGGAGGCAAATCATGACTCTACTGGCAGATTAGCAACCGGAAAAAGTATTTAAACTCTGGTACAAGTTACTATTCTTTAATAAAGTGAACATCCCTACTTCTCTATTTGGTGATTTTTTCTCCTGAAGTATACCCAGGCTAAGGAAAAGGAATCTGAGCATTTATGAGCTATCTTTGGTTGGCCCGTGTGTGCATTTGAAAATCATAGAAACACAACATGGTTTGGGTTGAAAGGGACCTTTAAGATCACCTAGTTCCAACACCTCTGAAATGGGCAGGGACACCTCCTTCCAATAGATCAGGTTGCTCAGAGCTCCATCCAACCTGGCCTTGAACAACACCTCCAGGGATGCAGCATCCACATCTTCTCTGGGCAACCTGTGCCAGTGCCTCAAGATACTCACAGTAAAGAATGTCTTCCTAGTATCTAACTGAAACCTACTCTTTCATCTTGAAGCTTTTCCTCCTTGTCCTGTCATTACACTTCCTGATGAACAGTCCCTCTCTGGCTTCCCCTTGATCCCTATGAGGTCTCCATAAAACCTTCTCTTCCCCAGGGTGAACAGAGTCAACTTTCTCAGCCTGACCTTGTTAGTGACATGCTCCAGTGCCTCTGCTGGACTTGCTCCAACAGTTCCATGTCCTTCGTATGCTGGGGAACCACAACTCTATGCAGCACTCTAGGTGGCATCTCATCAGAGCAGAGTAGAGGGGCAGAACCCCCTCCCTTGCCCTGCTGGCCATGCTGCTTTTGATGCAGCCAGCACACTACTGGCTTTCAGGGCTGGGAGCACACACTGCTGGCTCAGGTTGAGTTTTTTGCCAACCAAAACCCTTGGGTTTGGACAAGATGATCTCCAGAGCTCTCTCTCAACCTAAACCATATTGCTGTTCGGTGATCTTCTGGAACACAGTTATAACTAGAAGTCAGTCCCCTTTCTCCAAACAAATGCCCAAACATCCACAAACTGTTGTGAAAAAACGTGTGCAGTAGCATCAACTCATCACTATTTCTGGAGCAAAGAGAGAAACCAGTATTTATTCCCAGACTGGTTTTCACATACTTAGTCTCTGAAGTATATACCTCTACCTATTTTCAAGTCCAGGTAATTTCTGAGCATGAAGTAGTTTACACTACTTCATTCCTCAGGGAATCCCACTGCTGAGTTTCTCTTTGAATCTATGTGAGCCCTTCTGCATTCACAAGAACCTTCACAAATAATCTTAGGTAAGTAGCTCTTACCTGTGCTGCAAAGAAAATGGAAATGAAAATCTATACTGTTCAACAGTGAGTACCATTTACGACAATTTTAAGTTGAAAAATAAATGCTGGGTAATTCTTGAGTTTCATGCAACGGAGACTCAAAAATTTCAATGCTTGGGTTTTCAGGATAACTTATATACAGAATAAGTTTTTTCTTAGGAGTAAATTTTTCTCACTTTCATACCTTAATGCTGCAATGTATGTAGTGATATATTATGAATTCTACAATAAAATAAAAATTTGTAGGGCATTTTTTAAGGTGCTTGTGTTACAAATTCTCAACAGCACAAAAGAAATTTTATTCTGCCATCTGTGACAGTATGAATTAATTTTATAATAGACTCTAATAAATACTCCTTTATTTTTTCAATTTCCACAGCAAAAGTTACCATCAGCTGTTAAAAATGCAAAAATAACTAAATATATTCAATCCTAAAGTAAAGATTATTATTACAATTCATCTAGAATGTAAAAATGTGGTAATAAACCTTTCCACTGGAACCAAATAACCCCTGTAACAATGACTTCAGTATCTCTGTATTACTTTAGAATCTGTATATTTACCCACGCACTGGAATATTCATATTCCTTGCAGATTTAGTGACTTCTTCAAACCTTTCTATGCTTTCTTCAATTGAACAATTAATATTCATTTTGCTAAAAGATTCAGATGCTGCACCAAATACCGAGACTTCTGTAGCTCCTGCTGCAATCTGAAAAAAACATTTCAAGGAAACAGAATCATAATACTATATTAAAGTATTAGATTGAGCATTTAATTCTGTACAACATTCTAAAATGTTAAAGTACATTAAGTATATCATCCATATCTAAAATATAACTTTAATTCAAATTTTTTTAAGCTATAACATACAGATAGATTGAATCAAATATTGAGATCATTCACTATGGCATATTTTCTGCCTCTTCTTAGCAATTAGTTAAACATGTTTTTAAAGTGATGAATGATAAAGGGAATAAGATGTAGGAATTCACATGAACCAGCTATACAAAAGCAGTTATTAATACTTGTATATATTTTTTCAGAAAAGGAAAGGATCATACAACAGCTGTCACACTGTCTGTTCCTCCTGAATACCAAAGTCTCTCTCATGCTTGGGAAAGCTTTCTGTGTGCATATGCCTAGAGCAGCAACAATAACCAACAGGGATTTCTTTGTTAGAGCCAACTCTAGGATCAAGGGCTCCATTGGTCTTGGTGTCACAGTCGATAAGGATAATACGGAAAATGTGTACATGAGAGTCTGCTGAGAGAAATCTTAGCAAACACCAGTCTAGAAAATGTGTCAATGTGGTGACTTCACTGAAGGGGCAACTAGCCTGAGCTTGTATTCCATACCTCAGTAAATCAACTAACATGAGGCAAAATAGAAGGCTGAAAGCCAGCTGATAGAAGAAGAAAACATTTTAGCTTAATAGTTAGAATAGTTAACTAACTCTCCAGTCAGAATAATACTCTTGTTCAATAGAAAAGTATGGAGCTTTTGCCTATCTCTGCTTCTGCAGGATAATGTCTAAAATTCAGCAACCCATACAGGGACAAATATTCTTTCAAACAGAGGGAAAAAACCATCAGCAAGGAAGAATGTAGAAATCATCTACAAATATTTTTTCATTGTTTTCCCCTCATTATATCACTAAATACAGCATAGAGATAAAACACTATTAGTTAAACTCATACAAGCTACCATTGAGACAAATTTACAGCACTATAATCGGACTGTTGACAGCTAAGTCAACTATGCGCAGGATTCTGTTTTAACAGGTATTTCAGTATAGGAACTGAATGACAGACTAGACCACAAATGTCCACCAAGCAGTATGCTTTCCAAATACAGCCTGTCCTACATCAGGACAAAAGCAGAAGCACTAAAAATTTTCAAAAAACAAAAGTGTAAAGATTAGACTAACAATGTGTATATTTTAAGAAGACTGAACCGCTCCATTTTCACTCCTTTACACACTTCAAATCTATAATTTTGAGTATTTTGGAAGAACTGAAATAATTTAAACTTTCAAACCAACCAAAATAAAATCAAGAATTGCTATAAAGCTTTTTCATTTAAATGAATCTTTCCTCATTGTTCTTCAGTGTTTTCCACCAAGACACTCTTCTGAAACTTTTCTAGGGCCAACAAGTCAAAGAGAAAGAATTGTCTTGCCCTTTATATACAAGGAATTTACAAAGTTCCTGGTCAATGGCTCCACTAAAATATGAACTTAACATCACTCTGTGAACTCCCCATTTTTCATAAAGAAAATTGGGAGTTTTCAGTGAAAAAAACCTATATCTTATTTCTGACATTAAATAGCTAGATTCTGGTACTGAACTGAAAGTGTCTGAAACATAAAAGAGGTAAATGTGCACAACACCTTTAAAAGCACTTACAGCAGAATGAAAACCTTGAAGATTAGGAGTGAGAACGGGATACTGGACTCCAGGATGCCGCTCAATGCCCCTCATTACTTCTTTGTGATCTGCCATCTAAAATAAATAAATAAATAATTTGTATTGATCAGCAGTTATTTTCTGATTTTATACAGCTAAATAGAAATTGTTTTAGACTGTGTTTTTGCCTTCATTACTATTACAGTTCATATGAAAAGTCTAACAACAAATGGGCTAAACTGATTTTGTACAAATACTCTTTTGTAATTTCTTAACTTTTGACTATTTGTGTTGTAATTTTTTTTAGATCTATGTGAATACAGAACTGGGGCTAAGACTTCAACAGTATTCCCTTGTGTGTATGTGTAAAAATATAATTTGCACCATAAATTGACAGACTTATAATCATGCTGTTCATGAAGTGTTACAGCAACATGAACTTTGCTTCACTGGCCTTAATAGGTGGAATTAACAGAATAACTGAGATTTAAGAAACATAGAAATCCTGAAAACTTCAGCACTCTGATAAATGTAACTTCACAATGTTAAGCATAACTGAACTTGAATTACTCAACACTGTAATCAGAACATTTCAAGACTAAACACATCTATTCTTAAAGAGACAGCAAAATCCAGATGTCTGCATAGTGGAATGTTTTAATATAGTCACAAGTTTCTTTCTGAAACTTCTTTATTATAGCAAAGATCAGAGTACTTTTTTTCCTTAGTCTCCCCTCACAAAAGAAAAGCTGCCTTTTTAAGATACTCTTACATTTTTACTCATACATTCAAGATTAAATATTCTCCCTATACTGATGAAGAAGATGAATGAAACACTTATTCACTTAATAAAAGGCAGATTCTTTAGAGAAACACATTTTCTTAAAATAAGTGGGTTGAAAACAAATATTTTTCAATGGTGTGCACACCTGAAAACAATACAAAATAAAACATATCCCTCTTATTTAATGTCTTAAAGATTCCGAGTTTTAAAAAAAGAATAGTGCACATTAAATGCTTTTTAAATGAGTTCTCATAAAAGCAAATCTCTCAAGCAAACACTATTAAGTTGGATTTCTGTTTCTTTCCACACTGGTGAAAAGTATTTTGAGAAGTACCATGTAAAAAGATATATGAACTACAGAGCTTTCATTACTCCTTACTTTCAGCAGATGCCTTCTTGATAGCTATGCAGTACCACAATTCTAAATACATGGTATTAAATTATACCACACTATTAACTAAGAATACTGCTTGTAGCCTGGAATCTTCCTGTCACCAGCTTCCTTCTGTGAAAATGAATGGATTAAAAATATCAGAAAAAAATATGTACTCCTCTTCAAATATAAGCCCAATATGCATGTATAAGGAAGTGGATATATGGTACAAAAGGTGTTCTATAGCCAGACACAACTCTCTTCTTATCAGGAAGTAAGTGATAAAACAAAACTTTTTGTATTTGATTCTATGTGAAGTAAATTGGTCTGATAACCTCACAAAAAACCTCTGTCAACACCTTAGTTATTTAAGAACAATTTTTCATTCCTTAATTTAATATAAGTAGTAGCTACATTTCTCAGGGCAAAAAAGAATGTCTGAAACCAAATGATAAATTAAATGGCATATGTTGGAACTAAATTTACTCTCCACAATTATAGCCTGTCTTAAAATATACTGGAAAACCAAAATGACACTTTTTCAACCAGTATAAACCTGCCAGATCCAAATAATATTATAAATATTAAATCTGTCCCATTGCTATTTTTCCTGTAAGTAAAATCCCATCTTTGCACATATTGCATGTTATAAGATTTTAAATTGTAATAAAATACTACTTTTCCCAATTTCTTTAAAAATAAGCTTCCTAATAGTAGATATTTATAATTTTTGGCTGTTTATGTTATAGGTGTGGGATCCTGTTTTATATGGCACCTTGCTACTGTGGAAATTTTTCTTTTAGATTTTTCAGTAAAAAAATTTCTTTGCCAAAAACAACATTGGATGGGAAACCATAAAAAATTTAACGTACTGAAAAAGAAAGAAGTGAATGAGTGATCTAAAGATAACTGTAAATTCTATTCCCATGACCTATGAAAAAGAGAAAGAAGCAAAGAAAAGACAAAGTCAAGGCTGCATTGTCAAAGCAACACAATCTTATCTTTTAAATAAAAAAAAAAACCACTAATTAAGCCATTAAAACAAAGTATTCAGTGAATGAATTTGAGATAAAAAGGGATTACTCATTTTTTCTAAACTGACAAACTTGTGCTAAATTTGGTACTCACAATGGCTCACAGGAAAAGGAAATAATTAAACAAGAAAGGAAGAAATACACTTTTGCTTTAGACATTTTCTTCTAACATTTGACAATATTATTCCCTGTTGTAGTAACTGACAAAGTGTGATGGCACTTAGAAAAACTTAACCTATTCCCTTTTAGCAGACAAGAGACCATTGCCCCTGCATTGATGCCAAAGAAATTCTGCACTGTCACTCTTCTCTTCACCTACCCTATTACCCTTCTTCTAGACTCTTCTCTGGTGACCCTGAGAACACTGAAATAAAGCAAAGGAGTCCCTCAGAATACTGTATAATTTGCTTTCTTAACTCTTGAATAAGCACGGCTGTACTATGTTTTTCTCAGAGAAAAGCCTAGAATACAGTCCAGGCCCAGGATGTATTCTCAGTTTAAAATGGACAAACTTTACGTACATTTTGTCAGATGTGCAACATGCAATAGACATAGTTAAAACTGAAGTATTTTCTCAAATTCATTAACTTCTTGTTAATTAATGTAAATTTGTGAATATTTGTAAGTAACTTTTATGCTCCCTGTCACATATAAAGCATTCAAATGCTTCTATGCAAACAAGTGTGCAATTTCTTGAAAAACAGTTTAAATTATATAGACAAGTACTGACTTATTTCCATGTTTGCAGGAAATAATTAATTTGCACAAAGAGGTGCTAATAGTAAGCCTGAATTTGCAGCGTTAAATCTCAAATGGAAATGTGGCACTCTAATACCAATGCAGTTTTGCTGCCAGTTCCAGAAAGGCTAGGTTTCTGCTGAATTCTACCAAATGTAAAAATTAATTCTGGAAAAATAATAAGCAAATTTTTATGATTCATCAAAATTTAAGTGAAGTTCCTGATAGAGCATTAGAACTCCAAAATAAGTAATGTGCTTAACTACTACTACTTATACAGAAGTCCCAAATTTAGATCTTCCAAACACATTTGCAAATGTGGAAAATTACATTTCATTTAAAGAAAAAGAAAATAACATATACTAGTTTTCTTTTTTACATCAATGACTACTAGTTTTAGTAAAGTAGAAAAGAAGTAGGAACAACATTGTATTATATTAATGATGTGTCACCATTACAAATTGAATGTTACATAAATAAATAGAATGGCATTTAAATTTATATAGTTATGAATAGAGCTGATTTTACATACCTGAGGCACCCATTTGGATGAAACAAAACTGGTCACTTCTATTGCAGGCAGGCCTGTTTTGGAAAGCTGGTTGATTAACTCAATTTTTATATCAGTTGGGACTATCACCTATAGATATGGAGATATACTTTAGCAAAGTATTTTATACATAAGAAACTTTTTAAAGTGAAATGTTCCCTGTATATAAGCAATACTCTTTTATAAAATAATGAACTACTCTTACACATTTTACCATAACTCTTCTGTTTCCTGACAGTAGGAAGTATAAGGAAGGCATAAGGAAGGTACTAGGCAGTATACATGATCATACTCCATTTTCTGTCCATCACAAAAGGAAGCACTTCTGTGTAACTGGTTATAGATCTGGCCTCATTATTTGTTATTAATCAAACACCAAACTAGCAAGAACTGACAAAGGAAATACTAACAGTGTGACCAGTGAAAAATGGGAGGAAAAAAGCTTCATGGCTGTGGCAGAGTAACTCTATTGCGCTAATACCACTAACATCTCTGGTATCAGTAACAATGACACGTGAGCTTATCCTTCTGTTTGTAGAAGTAGATGACTGTTTCTATACATGTACCCTATAATCTCTTTCAATCTTCTTCTATGCTTCCCTACCACCCTTTAGGTAAATAATGCTATCAAAAGAGTAATATTTTTCTCCCATGTCTCTTCATCAGGAAACATGAAAAAACTTATTTTACTATTCCTTCTGCATTAACACATGAAGCAGAAACACAAGTTACAAAGATAGTGTTTCATAGTGTTTGCCAATAATGTCATTACAGAATGTTATTGACTGACAAGACAAATTCCAGTAAAATGAAATGCTGAGTAACAGAAAGGCTAGTTAGCCAAGTATAGAAAGAAATTATATGATATAAAAGCTGAGTAAATAGGAATCCACTTTCATTCTAATATAAAGGTAAGTTATCAATATGAAAATAGATATATTTAATAATACAAAATGAAAGAAACATAATTAGCAGGATGTACATATTCTACTCAATGAAAATAACACTAACACCCATGTCAAAGCACACACACACACAAAAAAGAGAAAAGTTACCTTCTCATTTTGTAATCCATCCCTTGGCCCAACTTCTACAATTTTTATGTACTCAGGCAGTCCAGATGCTTGAGATTCCTGAAATAAAAATCAATACTGAAAAATAAAACAATTAAGATCAACACCAAGATCAAAAGATACAGCTTGTACTTGTCCTTTCATATGATTCTGGGTATAAAGTTATATTGTCAACATTAAGTTTGCTCAGCACATTTAAAAATCTGTAAGAACATGTTCCACACCTTGACCTAAGGGATAAAAGTTAAAAACAGAAGTTAGTGAATGTTCCACTGCTCCTTTGAGGTCACAAAAGTTTATTAAAAATGTCCATAGAACCATAAAGGAACATTGAGTTTTACAGTGAGAAATATTTCCATTTCAAAAGTCTTTCCAATGAACAATCCAGCCCTCCAAACTTATAACTGAATGTTCTCAATTTAACTTAACAGGTACTTCTCTGTAAATGTTTGCAAGACCTGGCTATAAATCGGAAAAGAACATAGCAGTCAAGAAATGTTAAAGAGATTATTAATGAAAAATGAAAATTATTTCTCTGACTGAAGATGAAGGTTTTAAAAAAGGATTTAAAGGCAAAAGGAAAGCCTCTAGTAGATAAGAAGGAGAATTTTTCAAATGTAAGAGCAGCTTTGGAAAGGCAGGAAGCTGACAGGGACAGGAGGGAAGGAAGGCAGCAGTAAGGTCAAAGGGCTAAGGAGAGCATGGGGAACTGGAGGGGGAGGAAGGAGAAATGAGAACAGGAAAGCAGGTGAAGGGAAATGAAACTTCCTTTTTTATTATTTAGCTGCTCTGTGACTGAATCAAGTTGACATGTGTGGCAGCTAATGTAAACTGGGCCTATGAGTCCTAGAACAGTTCAGAGCAGTTGGCTGGATTGAACCAAAAACTGTGTGCCCTTAAAAACACACCCCAAGGCTAATTTGGGGCATGCTGTCCACGCTCAGGAGTGGACAGGAGAGATACAGGCAGCTCTGCCAGGAGCTCTGGAAATACCCTGTTTTCTGTATTGCACTGAGGACAGAAGCCAAACCAGTTCTCCATTCCAGTGCTGAAAGCCTGAGCTGGGACTAGCACGAGCTACCTGCAGGACAGCTGCTCCAGTCCCCACCACTTCTCCCGGGAGTTTAACACCACTGGAAGGGTGACACTGTCAGCACAGGGGGACAGCTCCTGCCCGTGGGAGTAACAGCTCCCCCAGAATGGAGACGCTCTGTAAATACAGCCACTAATCTCAGAACATCCACAAACAAAGGAAAACCTATATTTTATTCCTCCCTGAGTGGTATCATCGGAGTTGTTTAAACCAAACAGCTGCTAATTTCTCCTCAGTAATGGAAAATGAGCATGCCAATGAGCACCCTTGGTTTCTCACTGCATTCTTGGTGCCTGTGGGCAGTTCTCTGCAGGACTTGCCAAAATACAATAAATATATTTCAGACCATTTACAGTGTATTTATCTGAGCCCAGTAAAAAGAATAGGAAACAGCTGTAGAGCATCTACTTGATCACATGGAACATCTGGTAAGTTGAAACTCTGTCAGGCCCTGCTAAGCCCACACTCACTGACAGTATAAACCTACTTAAATGTGAAGGTAAAACCTTCACATCTGCTGCATATTGTTCCTCTTAAGTTATTTTCACAAATATGGCACTGCTTCAGCACTACAGGCATAAATCTGGGTTATTTCATGATTATCAGATCCTTCTTGTTGCAAGACAAATGCCACAGCTGTGTTATGAGTGAAGCTGTGACTGGAAAATAAAAAGAGAGCTAAAATAGTTTATGTGAACCAAAGCATAATTTAGAGCATGAAAAATGTCCATAAAACTTTGAGAGCAAAAGCATTCATTTTCTAGGCCAAATCTTGTAAATCCTATTTAGTGCCTACTGTGGCAAAAATTTGTGGAAATCAAGAGCTGTACTTGTCTTTTCAGATCAGTTCACACAGCCCCATCAGGTGATGTCCACAGCCCTTGGAGTTCACAGGGGTCAGAAGTCTGGAAGAGATACTACAGAAAGGCATTCAAGTATTGGTTTTTATTTTCTATCTGTGATATTACAGATGCACAATATCTTTGAACCACAGTCCAGGCCTCTCAGCCCCTGATTTTCTCTACAACCTTCCTGTCCACTAGTCAATCTCAACTTGAATTCATTGTTCATGGAGTGAGAACAACACTGAGAACCACATAGGGAATGACTCCCACATACTGGAAACTCAAGGCAGTACTATAAACAAATCTGTACACTCTTCAAGCTGATGAACTAACAGCTTAAGAGTAAACTTCTTGGCTCTGAGTCGGGAGGAGTGTTGCTTTGCATCATATTTCATCTAATTTTATTTCTGGTACATTGAGTGCTCCTATCTTCAATGTCACTCAGTCTCTCCTGTATGGCATCCAGTGTTGTACTGAAAATGTCTCCTGTCCTACAATTATCAGCAGATATTAGTACCTTCATACTTTCCTGTGAAAACTTTTGGACTATCATTACCTTATTTTAGTACTAACATGTATTATCTCAAAAAAAAATTAGAGTAGTGCTATAGAAGAAAGATGCTAAGAAGAAAGAGGAATTCTATCAGCAATATCTTTCCAGTCTAATAAATCTGCTTTCAACATTATCTCCTATTTCCTCCTCAGCCAGTTTCTTAATTCATCTCACACATTCTGTTCTTATCATCCTTCTCCCCAGCATAACTAATAATTTCTCTTATGCTGCATTGCTGAAGCTCGGACAACTAGCAAGTCAAAGACAGGCAGAATACTTAGGTTCAGGTCCCTGTATACTATTTATACAATATACAGTCCCTTTCTGCTGGATAGAACACAGAAACAAACTGGAAAAATATATATTTAGAGTATGTGTACCATCTTCTGCTAAGTGACTCTAGCATTTTTCTGTGCTGTGGCCCAAGTTGAATCCAAGGAGTAATGGAATCTCACCTGTCCTGTGAATGAATACTCAGTAACTAGCTGTTGGGACATTCTTCCAAGAGAGAAAGAAATATGTACTTGGCAAAGCTATTGGGAAGAAAAAGGAGACTCCGCTTTCTAGGAAGTTTTCTAATCACAGTGCCACGCTTGCAGGACATTACTTAAATAACATCTGAAGAATTCACCTGAGCCAGGGGTCATATTCTGTACCAGGCCCAATGCCATCTGCACTCACTAGTCAAGCTTCAAGTGCACAGAACACACTGAAGTCTGTAAGAACTGAGGCAGAGTTCAAACACTTCTCTGTTTACTACCTGGATGGCATCAGATCTCAACCAGGACTTGGGCTTCATAAATTGAAGGACTCATTTCCCCAAACTCTGACTGGAGCATTTCAAATGTACACCACACCCTTGGATAAAAGGAATGATTTTCAGAACCAACGAGACCAACTTAGAGCATTTCAGCATCTTTAAGTATGGCATTAAATGCCCTGCAGATAATAATTAGAAAATAGGTAAACAGAAAAATGCAAACCTGTTTTCATATTTTAAATGAATGAGAAATGGTGAACATTGCAGAAATACAAAAGTACCAATTTTAGTACCACTAAACTTGTCGGGTATACAATTTTGTTTCAGAAAAAATATTTACTAGATTGAACTATATGAACGATTTTTATGTAACAATATATGAAAAGCAGTAATGGCAAATACTTAGGGGAGACTGCTTATTGAATAATACAGGGTCTCTGTTAAAAAGTAATGACCACCAAAGTATCATGTTTTAAATATCAAAAAGGAAATAGCTGACATAAAAGACTAAAAGCCTGGAAAATTTGTTTTTCCATGTATCAAGCCTTGCCAAGGGAGCACAAAAAGCATATAAAACCACAAAAAAATTGCCTCTCTCAAAACAGAATGCAGCCAAAGAGTATTTTTAAAAGAAATAGAAAAAGGAAAACCAAACCATTTAGCTTGAGACATTGAATGCCAAATTTCTGTATGGAAACATTTTCTCTCAGCTATAAATAGCTGCAAATTTAGGTTCATTACAGAAAAACCTAGTAACTTTTAATTAAAGCAGTATAATCTCCCTAATGTAACAATAAATGTAAAAAGATTAAATAAACACACTTTTTAAGCTCTGTCACTACTTCACTACTTCTACTTAAGGTGCTGAGGTTCTTTTAGCCTTCTGATTTTTCTTCCATGAAGGTCATTCCTACAATTACCCAGAGCTTCTCAAAAGTAACTGAAAAACACAAAAGAGAGAAGGATCTGGAGGTTCAGGTCTTTTCAATCCTTCTAAGATAAAGCTCTGCTTTCCTTTTCCACAAGGTGGTGTTCTGGCACAGAGGACAACTGAACAATGGTAGGTCCATCCTGTACAAAGAATTACTCAGGAAAGCAGTTTTCGACAAGAATCAGCAGGGAGGTGGCATCGTAACTCCATAATGTATACCTGTAGTGACATGGAAAAATGCCCAAAACCAGGGAGAAGGTGCTAAGATAAATAACATGATTGCTGGAAGGAGAACAAAGAAAACCGGTCAATCTTCTGAACACATAGATGTCTCTAAACTTTACAAGACATAGAGGAAATAAACAGGAAGAAATTAAAATTCTTGTTCACATAGTCCACACTACTAGAAGGTAGATATAAAACATACTAATTCCCAGCTTAACTAGAGAAAAATTGGAGAAGATTCAAAAAACAGTGGGACACACCTGAGGAATATCCCTCAGTAAAGATAAACCAAGTATTCATTCTAGAACTGCTGCAAGCTGATGACATGACCACTGGGAGAAGAGTAGCCATGAATGGACCATGACCAGCAAAAACCTTCAACCCCTGAGAATCTTTCATCACGTGAAGTTTTCGTGATATATCACTCCATGTTCATGACTGAATGTTAACACAGACATGCCAAAACCAAAGCAGCTACAGCAGAGTACAAAATTCCATTGAAATCCCAGATGAATCTCAATAAAAGCAATGTGTAAGATAACACTTAGGACTCTCCATATCGTTTTTGATGCTGATGAATAAGAAAGTGAAATGACAAAACTGATCCTGAGCTTATAACTAGGATGTCATAGATAAAACATTAGCCTGACACT